TAGCCTGTCGATAAGTAGAAAAATCTTAAATGGCAATTTTACGGACGAATAATGAAACCATTATAGTGTGAACTCAACATAAACTCAAGTAAATAATGCCTTTTATAAGGCAGATATTAAAGGAAAAGTTAGTGAAAACCTTATGAGATTATGTAAGAGCTTAGATGAACCAATAATGGATTCTGTAAACAGCTGGTGGATACTTTAGAATATCTCTTTTCGTTGGAATGGCGACAAAACAAGTTTTCGGAAAAACTTGGTTCAAGGAGGAAATAGTGTTCTAATTTTTTAATCGTGTGAAAATTTAAAGTCGATTACGCCAAAATTGAAGATGTTGCGAATTTTCTATTTTCATCTGATTCCAAAACTTTAAAGCATTTTACTCTAATTCACGTTCTCAAAGTCGAATCCCTCATAACTTCAAAGGTACTGTATCGATCGTTTAAATTTTGAACACTGTTTCTGTACGAACTAAGGCTAGAAATCTGTCTTACATTTTTTGTTATTTTTTTTATTAACCATTAACAATTTAACCTATCTTTCCGCAAAACATTCCGTTGTTTTCTTCAAAGAATTCCAAAAAGTGTAAAATTTAAATAACAAAAACATAGCGTGGCGTTACCATTAAATACCATATGTAATCAAAATTCCACGGAAAAACTCAAGTTACTTTTCTCCTTCTACTCTGGCCATTGTAAGCTCAAGAAGCACTTATTTAACATGGTTTCCGGTTCTGTGACTTGGAGTCTGAAATGCCAGAATGCCTGCTAATCTACTGCACGGCCCTTGGATTTATGTTTCCGAATAGCGGTCTCATCGCCTTAATATCACCTAGCAATATATTCGAATTTATCAATTTTCTGGCGATAGTTGAGACGTTATGACTTAGGATAGGCCACAATAGATCCTAGGTCGCGGTTGATTTCTGCTGAAACTGGTATAGCTTTGAAAAATCTAACACTTGCAGCATAGGACGCCAAAAGAAATGCTTTCTAAGCACACTCTATTATATTATTGTCGATGTAAAGGTTATCAGATGAGCGCTCATACCTTTTCTTTTAATATCCAAATACTTTCTGCTCAATGGAATCCCGCCCACTCTACGTGCGAAGAAATATTTCAAAAGTAATTTGATAACACCTCAAATTCTTGAGTGCTCCCCACGCTCTCGCGCTTACTTTACCTGTTCTCTCGATGCAACAGCGGCATTCCTTGCAGAGCGATTTGCTCATCGCATAAAACAAAAAACGACTACAATGAACGACGCAAAAAACTTCCGCTGCGATATTAAAAACTCATGAACTCATGTGCGATGCGCCGACTAACTGACTGACTGACGAACGCTACAAATATGCAGCGCAGCAATTGTGCGACCGCTGCTTGAATTCACCGATGATTTCAGCTTGGATTTCCACTTCCACTTCCACTTCGACTTCGGCTATGATTTGTTTAATTTCCGTTGATGCTGCAACGCATTTCCGGCAGTGAATGGGCCACGAGTGCCAGTGTAAAGGGTACGACGACAACAACAACAATTGCGGTGGCACGATGACACAATGACGACGACGACTATTTACAAACACATAAGCACACAAACATATGTACCTATGCGTACGGCGTATATATGTAAGTGTTTGTGTAAGCGATGACGTTATGAGACGTTATTACGTTAGAGCATCCGTGACCGGGCTGACATGTGTGTATGAGCGCCGTTGCCTAGGCACGATGCCGCAAGTGATGATGATGCCTATGCTTAATCGAAAAAAGTCAGCGTTGGATAATAATTCAACTCAACGCGCGACACCGAAAGCCATTCAAAGGCAGCGCAGAAAGCCGCTGCTGTCACAACGAAACCGTTCGTTGGCAAATTACTTCGCGTATATGTAACGTGGTGTCGTCGCCGACTGCAACTGTGGGTGGGCGCACACTGGCCGACTGATGCGTGCACTTACAGCCAATGCGTTGTTGTTTTTGCTGTGCTTTTGACTACTACGACTAGTACTACCGTTGGACGATGGCGCTAGCTATGACGATGACCTGGACGTCGGCGTTTGGCGATGTTGCAAAGTTGCGATGTTGCTGTTGTTGGTGACAGCGTTGATGTCGGTGATGGTGGAATAGTATTTTCAGTTGTAGAAAAAAAAAACTCGTTGTAATTCGGTGGTCAATAATTGCAATGCTTACTATAACTTCACTTTTCTGTATTCATGCCTTATGTTATTGTACACACTTTTCGCTTCATTCGCTTTGCTCTCCTCGCGTCTACACGAGCTCGCAATGGATTTTGCAAAGAAGAACCTGTACGTAATGATTTTTTCACTGGGATAATGGCCCTTCAGGGAGCCTTAGTACACAATCACACATATGCACACACACACACACGCGCGCGTTCCACATTTACTATGCACACACTTTTCGCACGCGAAATTCCTCGATGAATTTCCGTAATTTGCTATTTAATTTGTGGCGTTGGAAAAAATTTTCCCAACGCTTGACTAAATTGATTTTCTTGTTGTTGTACTAGTTAAGATGTACTAAGCAGGCAGAGGGGAATGTTGAATTTTGATGTGAATTTTGCTAAGTGTGAAGCGAAGGAATGCGTCCGAGTGGCAGTGCGAGACTTTTTCTTATGCCTCGTACAACGGTTTTGTGTGACCACGAGATGGTTTGCGAGAGCATTTCGCATTCATATTTGGTTCTTTTACCCCGATTCCGAACTTCAAAAATGCCTGCTGCTGCTGCATACAAGTGCGCACACATACACAAACACGAATCCGGCGCGTTCGCTGCCACGCGAAGTGCTGCGATGCGTTGCGTTGCGATGAGGACGCGGTGCAATGTCCCGTTTAGCGAGCGACTCGCCGATTTCTGCGTTGGAAAACTTGCGTACAACTATAAAAGATAGCTGTTAGTTAAACAAATGCTTTTTGCTCTTTGCTAACTCTGCACAGAAGTGTGTAATTTACTATTTTATTTGATTACTGTTAGGAAAAAAAAGGTTTTAATTACAATTCTGCAGCACTTTCTACACAGTTAATTCACTTCTATTGCAGCGCTGTGCGAACGGGACAACCTACTTCCCGTTCGTGTTTGCAGGATTTAATTTCAGTATAATAAAATATCTCTTTTGCCAAGTGCAGCCGCAGCAGCGTGAGAGAGTGCGTGGCAGCAGAGCGTCAAGTGCTGTGGGACGCGAGAGTTGTACATTCGTATTGGGAGCGCAGCAAAAAATGGCACACACTCAGGATAATTTAAATGTAGAACACAGGATACTTATCATCTCATGCGGTTATCGGCGATCCCAAATTTTCATTTGCATTCGTTCATTTAAATCAGCAAACGAAAAATTTCATTATTCCACACAATTCGCACTGCCTTCAATGGCTTTTGACACGCACTTTTCACTTACAAATTATTATAGTAGTGCTGCTACCCCACTTTCGCCCAGTAGTGTACACAAACTTTGCTCGAGGAAAAGGTGAAAAATCGGCACCACGCCAGTAAGCTCTTTGGTTCTACGTAAAAAAAATTGTGTTCAACGTACTTATTTCCACCTTTACTTTGATTTTTGCAAGCTTGTACAGCGTTGTAACTGTGTTTTTATTGAATTTTTATCCACTTTAATTATTTGCTTTCAGTGGACGTCCGCGCGGCACTGCACCAATGCTCCGCACACGCACTCGGCTCAACTCGAAGTGAGTCCGAAAAGTATGCAATCATCGCGCAACGCTGTGAGCTATACGATTTTCTCGTTGGTGAAACTGCTGCGACCTGCAGTGGGTGGCGAGCGTGTGCAGAGGCCGCGACGGCGCGAGAGCCGGCGCTGACAGTTGCTGCTGCTGCTGATGATTGGGGATGGCAATGGTGTTGAAGTGTAAATGCGAGAGTTAAGCTCTTCATTGACTTTAAGGAACACTTTTGACGGGCATCACGCAGTCAGGGTTGCATGTAGAAATTTAGATCATTTGGGAAAACTCACGAACAATTTTGACTTTCACGCTTGAGAACCTTGATACTTTTAAAATTTTTGTGAAATGTTAAGGCTTTAACAATCGGCTAAACTTTTGACAAGTGCAATTTGATGTTACCACATAAAAATAGGCTCTTTGATTGGGAACCCATCGTAGAGTTAATTGGACTTTTATATACTTTCTGTATGAAACCATCGTAGAGTTAGTTGGACCTTTAAATACGTTCTGGATTTAAGTCTTGTTTTGACTCGATCCTAAGCTTTTACTGATACCAATAAAACTCGTTTTTTACGGAAATAAAAAATGAAGTGGAATGTCTGGAACCAGCTTCGGCACCAACAACAACATTAAACATTCATACGCGATTTCCAAATGGAATAAATCAAACTCTTGGAGAAAGCTCATAGAAACGAAAGCGCACGACACCCGACATACGATGATCTATATGCCGATTAGTTCTGCAGAATAGGATTTAAACGAAGAAGACTCATACCTTAGAACAAAAGAATTGTGGTATAGTCACTGATTTTACTTTCAAAACATCGATTTGCTTACCAAATATTTTAAGAATATTTTTTATCTTTATGTACTTTGACTTAAATATCGAAATAAAGGTTTTCGCAGGTTTCAATACAACAAATTCATGAAGAAGCTGAAAATACGACTAGAAACAAGGATGTCAAGCAGATGAGTGTCCATTTGCAAATTCACAACACTGGCTCATCCGCTGTCAACACCAAGAACCTTAGCAAAGATACACACTATGTAAAGCGCCATCTAGGCAAAAATAGCAATTGTTTACCAATATAAATTTCCAAAAATAAATTTAATTACATTTTTATTAGGACAACATTGAAGAAATTACACAATTTTGCAGAACAAATATATTTGCCGTCGTTAAAAATTGTTTGTATTAGAAAAACTTTTCAATTCCAGTCGTCAGTTCGTTTATCCTAAAAAATTTTGTTTGCTACACCCTGTATTTTGTTCCAATTAATTTTAAATAGTCAGCTGACAATAAAAAACAACTTTAATAACTTTAAATAGCATTCGGCTAAAAGCAAATTATTGCAGCGTTGTCAAGGAAACAAGAAAAACAACATTGAACCAACACAAAAATTATAGTGGAAACCTCAATTTTCCTTCCGGTGCAGTAATCGCCAAAAAGGATTTATTTTATTCTGGCCAAATCTGTGGACTTCTCTCCGGATGCCGCACACCGCAGTAAGTTCCATATTGTAATTACAAATCAAGTGTTAAATTGTTTTTGATGACCAATTGATGCTAATTTTATTTATTGCTTGTAGAGCGGCACCACGCCTTCGGCCAACAGATTAAAATCTTATTCTTACAAGTGAACATATACTTTCGCACAACACGGCCTTAAATTACGCCTTATAGCATTTTCGAAACAGAAATTATTCAATGCTCTCTTGGATGCTTTGGACATGTAGCAACGAAGAATGTTGTTATCACATGACGGGTGTATCATATAATAACAAGCAGGGTAAGTGTTTGTTGTTAAATTAAAGTTTCGTTTTGGTGAAAATAGAAGCAGTTTTTGCACAGTTAACGATATAGCTAACAGATGGAATAAAGTGTTATGGTGTTATTCTGACATACATTATCATAATTAGCTATTTCTTGCACAAGTGTTTTCAATATTTCTAAAATTTAAGCATGATACGAAGCTATGGATGGAATATAAAGTATCCAGGCCATCCGAAATCGGACGTTTTTGTAAGCCAATTGGAAGATAAACGCATTAAATAATGCAATTTTGAAATGCCTCTATATGTACTTATATAAATATGACTTACTTCTATTTCATGTTGAATACCCAAAAAGTGTTCTGTCAGATCCTTGTTCGTAAATGTCCGAACACAGAATAATTTTGCCACCTCACCTTTTGCAAAACTTAAGATTTCCAATGAATAGCAAAAGTACTTTTCAGCGCATTGGTGAGAAATTCCTAATTAGAGAGATTAAAAGTTAATGTTCCGAATTGCTAAATGTTACAAAGACAAAATATTAGTTCTTAATAGTAATCCAACGATTGAATTGACACAGACTAAAAAGTTATTATTTTTTATTCTTCGACTTTCACGTTTGTCTTAATTGTTAATTCGTGTAAAAAATAAGACCCATTTTTTTTAATTGTTAATTTGCTATTGTACAATGAAAAACAAATTTGAAGCATTAACTCATATACTATTTATGGAAATGGTGTTCAAAAACGATCGCTGCAGTATTTTTGAAATTATGAAGGGCTTTGAAAACGTAAATTGTGTTCGAGGAGAAAAATGTAAACTGAGAAGAATTAAACAGGATGTTCCGCAGGGTAGTGCCCTCTCCCCGCTACTCTTTAACTCCTACATCTCGAAACTCCCACAACCACCAGACGTCGGGCAATGGAATCGATGGCATGTGTTCAAAGGTAAACGGCTATCTATCCAACCTTTCTCGCTTTTTCTCTGCACGAAACTTAACACTCTCCCCCCACCAAATCCACAGCGACCATATTTACGAATTGGATGAAAGAGTACAGAATAGAGCTAAAAATTGCAGTCGATGGCGTCAAGACTCCGATTGTTAATAATCAATAAGATTTTAGGTATAACTTTTGATAGACTATGCTCTTTTACTCCACATATAGAGCCTCAACAAAAGCCTCACGTCCGCTAGCCGGCAGGACATTGGGAAAAGACAAAGAAACGTTTTTGGCAACTTACAAGGCCATCAGCTGGCTGGTCCCCAACTACGCCGCATCAATATGGTCGTCTGAATGCAGTGGAACGTAGATAAAGAAGCTAAAGATTTTTCAGAACACTGCACTCCGGATTACGACAGGATGGCTCTTGATGTCTCCCATTGAACACCTACATAGTGAGACGCTTATGCTTCCAGTTAAAGAGCATAATAAACTCCTCTCCAGACGGTTCCTGCTGCGATGTTTTCACAAAAATCACCCCTGCAATCACCTGCTTGGAGCGGAACCGCCTCCTAGAAGCATCGAGAGGTCTTTCCTCAATTACGTCGACGATATCGAACAATACCGGACTTCGGACGCAACTAACTACCGACAAGCACTGACCCCCATTCACAGCGGAGCCATCAACAGCCTCACCGACTCCTCACACCCTCATAGACCCCTACATATCCAACATATTTCCTACGTGCAATGAGTTTCCGCATGATACTGGCCACATCTTTGCATGCCCCGCCAAACCCACTCATCTGACACCCTTTTGCTTTTGGTCCGATCCCGTCAAAACAGCAAGTTTCTTGGGCCTACCATTAGATGACGTCGACTAAAACTTAGATAATCCTCACCATCCTAAAGGGGATTAGATAACCGTTAAAACAATAACCACAATTTGTCGATTCCAAGACGTTCATTGAGGGAATTTAAGCAAAGATTTTGGTTTGCATCTATATAAAATTGTTCTCACTCAAGAACTGAAGCCATTGGACCACTGTGAAGTTCGCGAATTTGCTAATTTACTAGTTTACAACAACTGGTTCCCGCCATATAGAGCTATTTGCCATACTGCCCGTGCAACTGCCGAATTATTGCAAGAAAAGTTTCGAGATTAAATTATTTCAAGAAAGTTGTAACACTTTGAATGGCCGCCAAGAAGTTGTGATTTAATACCGCTAGACTTTCATGTAAGGTTAATCGAAGTCATTGGTCTTTAGCAATAAACCACACTATCTTCAAGCTTTAGAAGTAAATGTTGAACGCGCTATTCATGACATACGGCTTGATACAGTGAAAAAAATACTCCTGCAAAAGAAGTCGTGAAGGCCATTTAGATGTTATATTCAGAAATCATATCACTCTTATTGAAAAATCCTGTAATAGTAAGGTTTTTAATATTCTCGATTTGTATTTATATTTTAGTCGGCTCTTTCCCTCGAAATCGAAGTATACATAAATAGTTTTTGAGTATATAGTATTTCATATTAATGAATATAAACATATTTTCTATAATTTAGTATAACGATTTTACGTCAAATTTTGTCGTTCTTTAATTTTACATTAATAGACATTAAAAAGACATTTCTCTCAGTCAAGGCTCAATCATAAAATACTCTCATTTTTGATTGGAGGAGTTTGATTGTGCGTGTATTTGCCAGGGGAAAGAACATTTTTGATAAGCTCTTTTTAGCGTCGCTAAAAGTAATTATAACTTATCTGTTATCTCACGAAATCAAAAAGAATAAACGAACTCAGCGGTTTTAGCGAGTTGTACAAAATTATTGAAGCAATATCTAAAATAAAACGTTTTTTTAATGCGGTTGAGTTTAATTTCAAACTTTTCGCAATTAGTAAAGTTTTACTTTGTGTACGCACTTAATTATGGCTACAAGTACTTATGTATTATAAACTGTATAATATTTTTCACACTGATATATAATAAGTGTATTACATACACCATATATGTACATACATATTCACCTGCCACATACAATTCAAAACTGTGCACTCCTATAAAAAACTTAATTCGAGAATGTTTTAACACTGCTTTGAGAAAAGTTGGACAAAACATACCTTGACATTGCACAGCATGAGTTTTCCTTTGCCACCACTACCGCTTATTAGGAATTGGGCTGGTGCGGCGCATTAAAGGTGCGTGTGCCTTGCAGCATGCATCAACGCACACCGCGCCATTGCCACTGCGAGGGTGCGTTACTGGTGTGGTGCCAGGTGTAAAAACACGGCCTCGCTGTAAGTTTGACGAATTTGTTGTGAACGAGCGTTGGCCTTTTGCGGCGATCCTTGCGTTTCGCGCTTGGTTGATTCGCATTTTTATACCAAATTTTAACGCACGCCACAATGATAGCTGTCCATAGCAATAAACGTCATTTTGTGCGTTTGTTATATTCAAGATATATGTACATATATAGTATGTATGTAAGTACGCATTTATACGTACACATAACCAAACATAATTTCGTGTAAAATTGGTGGGAATACAAACAATCCCTTTCAGAAACTCTGTAAGTTAGTAACAGTTTTCGCTGTGCTAAAATAATTAAATCTGACACTTTGTACACATACCTACATACATTTTCGCGAATTTTTTTCCGTATAATTATTTCCTTTCCAGAAAAGCGGTGTGTGAGTATATTCTCAAGAGCTGGAAAAGAAAAAAAGTATTCCAAATTGTTAGTGTTTTATTGGCTGAAATGTGTTACGTGTATGGATACAAATGGCCGAAAAAACCCTTGACTATAACCCAGCAAACATTTCATCCGTTAACTGCAATATGGTATATTGTATGTAGTAGAGAGCATTTGACTAAGCATTGTTGAGAGGTTCGGTTTAGTTTAGCATAGACTTGGTTTTCGATACCTGATGGAGTTCAGTTTCTAGATCTTTGAGTAGGAGTCATGCTTTAGGCTGCCCACGCTTGACGGGAATCTCAACAGACTCTGTGGCCTCACTATCGATAGATCTTCCAGTGTGGGGAGCCCAAATGTTTACAGCGTAGTCTTGCCAATGCGGAGCAAGTGCACAAGAGATGCCCCATTGTTTCCATGGTGTCTTGCTCCAGATAGTTCCTGCAGTCTCCTCGTAGTAGAAGTGAAGTTGCTTGCTTCTGGCATCACTTACCATTGCTGCTTCCCAAGTCACGAGGTTACTGCTTTGCTGTCTACGTAGATATTGACTCTGGAATTGTCTACAGGTGCAGTAGAGGCTTTCGCAATAGCAAAGAACTCTGCTTGAAATATACAGCAGCAGCCAGGCAACTTAATAAGTTACCTTGTACCTAACTCTGTATAATATTTGTGTTATTGAGTTCTTCGCCGGATAAAAATCTGCATACATAGACCCAATTATATTAACAGAAACTTACGAAAGTTAAAACAAAAATTTTGTTTGCGAAACTGCGAAAAAACGAACGACTGGCATTAAAAATTATTTACTAAAGTTTTTTAACTTCTAGGTATGTCTCACTATGCTAGACTTGTTGAAATTGTCTCGAATTGTGTATACTTATTTTGAAAGTAGTCGGTACCAAGGTGGTGAAGTGTAAAACAACGTAATCCACCCTCTTCAACTAAAAATGTATCAACATTGGTTTACCGTTACACACTCGCATAACTCTTTAGTGCTGTAAACGAGAGTTTTCGCTTTACTGGGTTGGCTGGGTGTTGAAAATTCGAATTTCGCACACCAAGCCTTGACCAAAAACAAAGCCATAACCGTTATTTTTTTGATGAACTCATTATTTTCCGTCCGCCTCTGTGGCAAACCCATTGAAGAAAAATAAGTAGCTAAAGGAAATTATTTTTATTAATCGTATTATGGTGAGTTACCGGAAATTCTGATGTAACTGAAAGGGAATTTCGTAGCGACGACTGTACATAAAGCAAGTAAAGTCGACTTTCGGGGTTTATTAGTCTTGCAATATGTTTTGTTTTGTCTTAGTGTTTTTTTTTTTTGGTTTTCCCTCAATATTCAGATGAAGGCATATATAGGGTATTTTTTCATTGGCC